TATACATATATGATAAATTTGACATCTACATCACGTCAATATTACGCAAAGACTTATTGATATGTTAAAATTAACATCAAACACACGTCACTTAATTGAAGTATAACGTCAGTGACCAAATATTGATGTCAAAATAATGACAGGCTGCTACCTGGGATGTCTTCTGACAACTACAATTACTACATTTACGCAATTGTAGATTAGGCTTTAGGCAATCCTCTTTACATCTTTACAGCGACTCGCGATAACTAATACGTTTACATCAATTAGCACTCGTGCATAAATTCACCGCTTTATATCCCACGACGCTTATCTTTGTGGCGCGGAGATGCGAACGTTAATCGCGTCTCTTAAAAATACGTGACTTCGCATTTGATGCGTTTCATTAAGCCGCGTCCGTGTCGCGTTTAATTACCCGTGCCGCTTTTCCGTGATTCGCCATGTATTATGAAGCTTCATTATCGTCCCGTTCACTATGCGTTCGTGATTCCTCGTGCTGTGCTTTCATTCCGCGAGTGCGGAAACCGCTCTTCGACATGCACGATATGACGCGATGCGACACAACGCGCAAGAAGAAAACAGAAAAAAAAGCGAGATAAAATGCAAAAAAAAATTAAAAGCGAACGCTAATCCACTATGGCCACGCCATAGGGAGGATAGGCTCATTTATATACGCGTGGTTTAAGCTGCAGCTGCACTCTACTTTCGCGTAATGCGCAATTGCTCTTGTGGATTTCTTTAATCGCGACTGCCCCGTTGTCGCTAAGTCTGGCATTGTAAGAGAGAGAGATCATAATTACGTTTCAGCACGTAACTGAGAATTATAGACGATAACCCATCCTCCATGAGCAAATCCCGAAGTCCGAAGAGTACCTATACAAATTTAATTAAACGCTTGGTGCGAGAGCTCGCGAACCATTTCTTCATGTTGAGACACGTCGAGAAATGCTATATCAATATTTACATGGGATACGATAATGCTGATAATCTGTCGTTCTGTATCGCGTATTTGAGAAACGTGATTTTTTTGTATAAATTTAATTATAGGAATATTCATTATCAGATCAGAACAATTTAAATAAATATATAAAATTAATCTAAAACTCAATAATTATAATTATAAAAAATTATGTGAAAAATGGGCTACAAGCCAATTTAAGAATTTGTAGAATATTATATGTAAATTAATTTAAATATAATTAAAAGAAAGGAATCAATATCTACATATTCTGTCTGTAAATATGTAAGTTGTAGATTTATCTTTTTAGGTAAAAATAATTTTTTCTAAATAATCTTAATTTAATTGTTCTCAAAAGAAAATATAATATTTAAAATCTATCTGTTCTTAAAAATGTGTTCATTGGAAATCAGGTAATATTTTAATAACTGTTCTTTTTAAACGATTGAATATCTCACAGTAAAAGTTAAGTGTATGATATTAAAGAATGTAAGTATTCTATATATAAACAAAAAAAATTTTATATGGTATTAAAATCATTGCTTTACAATTTTGCAATTTATTTCATCTCTAAACTACTATTTATCTATAATGTATAAAGTAATATATATATATATATCTATATATATATATATATATCAATCGTTG